AAAGACTATCAACTGCTAATAGGTATGAGGGTTCTTTCTAATCTAAAATTACATTATGGTAATCATTTCATGACTGTAAATATGCTAAATAACATTGATCTATATACTTTAAATATGTGGATTTTGTAGTGTGGAAATGACATCTCAACAAAGCTGTTAAAGACATCATCATGGCCTGCGGTCCAGAGAGACCCGGGTTCAGTTCCCACTAAGGGCATGTACCTCGGTTGCAGTTTGTCCCCAGCCCTGGTCGGTCTTGCGGGTGGCAGCCACTCGATGTGTCCCTTTCACGTCGATGTTTCTCTCTCTCTCTCTGTTCCTCTCTCTTCCTCCCACTCTACCTGAACAGAAAATGGAAAAATGTCCTCGGGTGAGGATAAAAAAAAAAGACATCATCAGTGCCCTGGGTGGTTTTTCTCAGTGGTTAGGGCATTGGCCAGCAGACCCAAGAGTTGTGGGTTCGATTCTGGTCAGGGGCACGTACCTTGGTAGCAGTTCATCCCCAGCCCTGGCCCGGGTCATGCGAGAGGCAACCAGTCAATGTGTCCCTCTCGCACTGATGTTTCTCTCTCTCTCCCTCTCTCTTCCTCCCTCCCACTCTATCTGAAGATAAATAGAAAAATAACCTCGAGTGAGGATTTTAAAAAATCATCCCTGGCCGGTTTGGCTCAGTGGTTGGAGCATTGGCCTGTGGACCAGAGAGTCCCAGGTTCGGTTCCCACTAGGGGCACATACCAAAAAGAAAAACAAAAAACAAACAAACAAACAAATCAGTATTTTTTGTTTGTTTTTTTAATGGGCAAGACTAAACTCTGTGGCTAGAGATGTATAACTCTAAAGAAATGCAAGAAGTTATCACTATGAAACTCAGGATTCCTTTCGGGTGGAGGGAGGGTTTTATGTAGTTTTCTGTATCTTTTCTATTATGTATAATAAAATGATTTTTTAAAACAGAGGAAATCAAATATGAAATGACACCCTATGTTGGCCAGACTGTAAGATGCACTCCTGACCCTCCACCTGTTTTGTTTTGGGGCAAATTATGCTCAGAGACTGAGTTTGTCTCTGACAATAGTTTCCTTAACACAGCTTCACTGTGGGAATTATAGTAATTTCACAAACCAATAGCATACAGGATAATGTCTCTTAATAAGCCAATAAAGAAATAATATACTCCAAACCAGTGATAAATTAATTACACAATTGTTCCAGGTAAGGGGAGATAAAAGGAATAAAGTCCAAATTTAGTTGAGATGTACCTTTATAAGAGTTGATACTTGGGTGAGAAGGCTTAGCCAACCAAGAGCTGCCAGTGTAAAAGTAAGAGTCCCCTGTTGCTAGAGCACGTTGCTAGGGAACGATGGCACCAGTGTTGGGCAAGATGATCTTCCAGAGGCTGCTGCAAGGCTTTGCCGCTGTTGGTAAGAGTCACCTTTACCACAGTACGGGTTAAGGTTAATGTCCCAAAGTTAATTTAGGTCAGCAAAGTGTTGCCTTGCCCAGAGCGAAACTCTCAGAATAACTCACAAATTCTCAGTATTTATCATATTTTTTTTCATTTAATATTTATTTAATATTCAACTTACATCTCTGTAAGGGGAGAAATATATTGGAAAAAGAAAAATACAATATTTTTTCTCCTTCTGAAAATTCTTTATTTTTCCTTTATTGATTTAGAGAGAGAAGAAGGGAGAGGGAGAGAGGGAGAGAGGGAGAGAGAGAGAGAGAGAGAGAGAGAGAGAGAGAGAGAGAGAGAGAGAAACATTGATGAGAGCCCTGGCTGGTTTGGCTCAGCGGTTAGAGTGTCGGCCTATAGTCCAGAGAGACCCGGGTTCGGTTCCTGCTGAGGGTACATACCTCGGTTGCAGTTTGTCCCCGGCCCTGTTTGGGTTGTGCGGGTGGCAGCCACTCAATGTGTCCCTTTCACATCGATGTCTGTCTGTCTGTCTCTCTCTCTCCCTCTCTCTTCTTCCCACTCTGTCTGAACAAAAAGTGAAAAAATAGCCCTGGCCAGTTTGGCTCAGAGGTTGAGCATTGGCCTGCGGACCAGAGAGTCCCGGGTTCAGTTTCCGCTAGGGGCATGTACCACAAAAGAAAAAATGTCCTCGGGGGAGGATTAAAAAAAAAAAGAAACATTGATGAGAGAGAACATCGATTGGACGCCTCCTGCATGCCCCCCACTGGGGATCAGTCCCACAACCTGGGCATGTGCCCTGACCGGGAATCAAACAGGCCAGGCTCCTTCTGAAAAATTTTTTTATCCTTACCCAAGGACACTTTCCCATTTTTTGTTGCCACCCACACAACCCAACCAGGGCCGGGAACAAACTGCAACCAAGGTACGTGCCCTTAGTGGGAACCAAACCCGGCTCTCTCTGGACCGCAGGCTGATGCTCTAACCGCTGAACCAAACTGGCCAGGACTCCTTCTGAAAATTCTTAAAGATTCTGCTTTGCCACAGAGATAGCAAAACATACAACCCCCCCCACCACACACACACACAACATAAACCCCAAAAGTACTATCTTTGAAGGTAAGAAATATCAAATTTAGCTACGTATTTAGAAGTGATAGGGAGCTAGGGAGAAAAGGTGAAGACATCTGAAAAGTAATTTTACTTTTGTTTAACCTTAAACTTGTCAATCTCTTCTTTCCTTGAACAGCCTTCTGTTCTGTTTGATACCCAGCTACACTCACATTGGAAACAGTGAAAACTATGTAGTGATTCCACTTAGAGTTATAACCATACAGTTAAGATGTTTGAATATAAGCCTATCCATATGCCAGATAAACTTTAGAAACCCTTAATATCTCTTCTTTTACAGAAATTCTCTCTATCTTGATGCAGTTTGGGACAAGCCAGAAAGCTAATTCCTTAAATGAGACCCAAAAAAAGTGTTTCCAATTACAGCTATAAATAAGAAATCTTCCCTTCAAATATAAAATCAATATTTTCAACTGTACAATAATTCTAATTTGATGGTTTTTCCTCTTATTACTTCACTTCAAACAGTGACCTACATATTTGTTTAAGCAATAATAATTAAGTTCCTCTTTTGATTTCTTCAGAATAAACAAAATTAAATGTGTTGAAGATACCACTAAAAATATTTCACCTTTTGAATATGGCCTCCACATTGAAATATATAGGAACTTTTCTATTAACTTTCAAATCTTCCCAGAACTTTTATTTTTTTTAAAAATATCATCTTGTGTCCTGGCCAGTTTGGCTCAGAGTTTGGTCGACCCACGGACCAAAGAGTCTCTGGTTCAGTTCCAGTCAAGGGCACGTACCTTGATTGCGGCTCATCCTGGACCCTGGTTGGGGTCATGTGGGAGGCAACCAGTAAATGTGTTTCTCTCACGTCAACGTTTCTCTCTTTCCTTTTCTCTCCCTCTCTCTTCCCCCCACTCTATCTGAAGATAAATAGAAAAGTATCCTCGGGTGAGGATTTAAAAAAAAAAAAATCTTGAATAATTTGAATGAATGATTTAACAAAAACGAATTCACAAGTGCCTATTACCATAAGCATCAGTTTAAACAAGTCTCCTAAATGTGTTCTGCATCAGTTTTCTTGATTATAAGATGTTGATAACATGGAAACTTTTGTGTGTGTGTGTGTGTGTGTGTGTGTGTGTGTGGTACGTGTCCCTAGCGGGAACCGAACCCAGGACTCTCTGGTTCGCAGGCTGACGCTCAACCACTGAGCCAAACTGGCCAGGGTGGAAACATTTTTGATAGAACATTTAATTACATCAGTTCCCCATGACCCCCAACACACCAGTCATCGGTGATGATTATTTTGGCTGCCTTCCCTGGTTGGCAGGAGGTTCTTCCACTAAAGGCTCCATGGTTTTCATTGTATCATTTTCAGCCTAAAGAATCACCTCTTCTGTGTGTCCACCCTGAAGTTGGTCTTCTGATTTTCTACCATCTGGCTCTGCTTTCACCACATCCAGCTTCTCATTTGTAATCTCCTTTGTATACTTCCTATATGCTGCATTTTTAGGGATTTGCTCAGAAACATCAAGAATCTTGGTGTACAATTATCTTAGCCTCTCATGCAGGCTCTCACATACAGCCACTTCCACAAGGCCAGTGGTCTTCTTCAGCAAGTCCGCCCTGGCAGCGCCAAGGAGCTGAGTACTAGCATTTAGGAGCCAAGGACCAGTATTTAATTGTTTTTCTTTATTGATTTTAGATAGAGAGAAAGTGAGGGGGAGAGAGAGATAGAAACATTGATGAGAGAGAACATCGGTTGGCTGCCTCCTGCATGCCCCTCACTGGGGACCCGGCCCACAACGTGGGCATGTGCCGTGACCAGGAATCGAACCAGAGACCTCTTGGTGCATGGGTCAATGCTCAACACTGAGCCACACCGGCTAGGCAAGGAGAACCAGTATTCATAGTCTAAGTGTCCTCTTGCCATAGTGGCTTCTCTACTTGTTCTTACCAGTAAGCCCCCAGGGGGGCCTGACCATCTGAGCTACTGAGTGCTTATTAATGACAACGGATGAGATAATGACATCCTGACTCAATTTCATTCTTCTATATCAAAACAGCTTTCCTTCTAAAAACATTTTTTGCCTTTTCCATAAACAGGATGAAAACGTCACTTAAGCCATAAACAAATGGATTTAAAATCATTTCAAACCAATAATCAACAGAAACTGAGGCGCTCAGTCTGACAGTCCACGAGAACCTGGATGTAGCCAACAACCCTGTGAGTTTGGAAGCAGATCCTTCCCCAGTTGAGCCTCGGATGACACCATGACCCAGCTCACACCCTGACTGCAGCTTGTGAGACTCCGACGCAGAGGCCTCAGCTAAGTTGTGCCCTGGCTCCTGACTCACAGAAACTGAGACAATAAATGTATGTTGTTTGAAACGGCTACATTTGTGGGAATATTACAGAGATTCATAACGCGCCCCTTGTGTTCGTGGGTCCTTAAAACCACTCTCGGGTTCGGCGATTCACTAGGACCCACAGAACTCAGCAAAGCTGTTATACTCTTAGTTTCAGTTTATTACAGTGAAAAGATACATATTAAAATCAACAGTAAAAGATAGGCACATAGGGCAGGAGCCAGGAGACACCAATTATCCTCTCCCCGTGGAGTCATGTGGACAATGCTTAATTCTCCCAGCAACAATGTGTGACAACGTGCAAGGAGTGTTGTCAAACAGGGAAAGTCACCCAAGCCTTTGTATCCAGGGCCTTTAGTGGAGGAGGTCAGTCAGGTAGACAGGCCTCACCAACCAGGTGACTAACCTTAGTCTCCAGCCTGTCCAGAGGTCAAGCTGATGATACCTCTTGGCCCAAGGCCCTCAGGTGAACAAAGACACTCTTATGAGGCAGGATATTCCAAGGGATTAGAGGTTATGTCCTAGGAGCCAATCAAGGGCTCTTCCTTTCTTTGGACTGCAGGGTTTGAGCATCCCAAATCTGCAGAGTTAACCCTTTAACTGCACACCCCTTAACTTCAGGAGTGGGATTCTTGTCAAGTTGCTACCCTGCTTGAAGGCAGAGAGAGAGAGGACAGAAAACCCCATGTTTTAACCTTTACACCTTTACTGGCCTTATAGTCAGAGAGTTTCCGGGATGTAAACCATAGAGCCAGAAGGCAGGGTGCAGGGGAGAGGAGGCGGAGACTGTGCACTCGCACAGAAGCTTCTCCTGATTGGCCACTGAATAGAAGGCAAGCTTCCCCTGCTCGAGGTCCAACCAGATGCCCACCACCCTAGGTTTCTCTGAGCCGAGGACAGTTTCCTTGACCATGCTCCACACAGAGAGCTGGCCAGTTCCCTTCCACTCTACACACCACGAGTCCCTGGTCCTTCCCAGGATCTGGTCACGGCCCATCCCCCAGGAAGCCACGCCAAGTGCCCAGTGATTGCAATGCTGAGTGTCCACCTCCCAGTAGTGCTGCCCAGAAGAGAAGGCTTGGGAGCACAAGACCTGGCAGGTTGTAAATCTGTCCGGATTCCAGGGATAAAGCTGTGGGATGTGAGATACAGTCACCATCCGGCAGTCCTCAGACAACTCCAGGCTACAGGAGAGGCTCTTCAAGTCAAAGGTTGGACTGATGGCCCCTAAAGAAAAGAAACAAGAACTTAACCAGCCTGTTCTGTCGTCTATGGCAAGAGGTCCTCAAATAGCAAGAAGCTGCTTTGTATCTTTGGGTGTGATCAAGTTTTACTTATACTGACTAATATTGGTATGTCAACTTGCTATCCTCTGTACATACCCCTGATGCTGTCTACTAACAATACTCCTTTCCCTCTTTTATCTCTGCTTACCATCAACCTTCTTTCAGAAAGCCCTCTCTGAATCCCACCCAGCAAAATGTCACCTCCTGCTTTTCTCAACACCCCTAGTGTTTTACCTGTTCTCTAATATACTGTCGTCTACCTGTAGGACAGTGACCACGGCTGTTTATATCTCTAGTTATACATCAACGTCCTGATTAAGGATCATGTCTGATTCATTTTGTATATTTTATACTGTTTCCTATTGAGTAAATAAATGCTAACACTTACATAGCCTTTCTACTCTAGGTACACATTTAAACACATTCACTCATTAAACACTCATGACAATCCCATGAGAGAAGTAAGCACTATTATCATCTCCATCTCACAGATGAGGGAACTGAGGCTCTGGAAGGTTACATAACTTGTCCAAGATCATACAACTAATGAGTGCAGGAGCTGGGAGTCAACCCAAGCAGTCTGGCTCCGGGGTCTGTGCTCCCAGTGACCACTCCACTCTGGGACGGCGACACTAGCTAACCAGATTGGAGAATGGGCAGTTGGCTGTGTATGGTGGCTCAGCATGAATGGCCACACGTTGCCTGGGCTCGGAGTGTTCATGGATCTGGCTCAGCCTGGAACTTGGGAGTCTCCCCTTTGTCTCTGTAATCAGCTCTCCAAGTGGAGAGACCTAGTCTGGGGTGGGTAGGCCTGGCGGCAGGGAGAGGGACACAGCATACTCTCGCTGCATACTCTGTAGCAGGCGAAACCCACGTCTTAAGCAGACTACATACTTACGTTGAGCAAAGCGGGAGGCAAGGTGGTCCTGGTCCGTCAGTGGGCCCGAGGAGGAAGACAGACCTTTCGGGAGTTTAACTAAGGAATTGAAAAAACGGGGAGCGGGGGAAAAAGTCCCATTAAAATAAGGCAAGTGGAAGGTATCTAAGCATCATAATCAGAGCACAGGGCTTGTCTTCCTCAACAGCAGCACATTTTAGTGTCAGGACTTGACCGGGCAGGGCGGCCAGCTCAGGTGTGTCCAGCCCCATGTGCTCATTACGCGCTTTTCCATTGATTCCTCACTAAACTCTAAATTTATTGCTGGCTCCTTGCTCATCTCTGCGTTCTAAGAACCAAGCCTAGGGCCAGGTAGACAGGAAGTGTTTGATGCATACTTATCAAATAAATTAACTAGTACAGTTCCAGGGGATCACGGTGCCCTCACACCCAGAATATCCATGAACCCCATGTCATTGCTTTAAATTGTTATAAAAACTGGGGAATATGAGTTGATGTGAGATTCACCTCAGCTCACTGACACCTCCTATTTCCCTCTCAATGTACTAAAGTGTAATTGCTCCCTTAAAGCTCCCGTGTGCTTCCAATGCCCATAGAGCAGGGAGAAGGGAAAGGAAAGGTAATGTCAGAGCGTGGACTATGAAAGTTAAATCTTGCCCCATTTGTATCTTGAAGTGACAGCAGCATAAAGTGAACCTAAGAATCCAAAGACCCTTCCTAGGGTGTGGACTGTGAAGCCCCGCGAGCAGGAAAGCTCTCCTTCAAGAAACCGTGATCAAAATTCAGGTAGGCACCCCTGAATTTTGTTTGTACACTTATTTTGTTTTGTTTTTTTCTATTCCACATATATAGTCAAACATATTTGAAGAAACCGCAATAGAGTGAAGCCACGAAAGTCAAAGCGCGAAGTGGCGAGGGCCGACTTTGTATACATAAAGAATCCTGCTTCGCGGAAACTCATTTATTGTGGCAGAGCCTGGAACTGATTAACCGCGATAAACGAGGGCCGGCTGTAATGAAATCATATATTTCTCTTTCTCTGTTTGACTTATTTCCTTTAGTATAATACCCTCTAGGTCCGTCCCTGTTGTCGCAAATGGCAAGATTTCATTCTCTCTCTTTTTTTATTTTTTATTTTTTTGTGGTACATGCCCCTAGCGGGAAACGAACCTGGGACTCTCTGGTCCACAGGCTGACGCTCAACCGCTGAGCCAAACTGGCCAGGGCCTCTCTCTCTCTCTCTATATTTTTTTTTTTTTAATGTGGTTTTAATTGATTTTTTTTTTTAGAGAGAGAGGAAAGGAGAGATAGAAACATCAATTGACTGCCTCCTGCATGCCCCCTACTGGGGGATTCAGCCCAAAACCCCGGCATGTGCCCTGACCAGCAAACAGGGACCTCTCAGTCCATGGGATGGACACTCAATCCACTGAGCCACAACGACCAGGCTCATTATCTTATTTTTATGGCTAATATTCCATTGTATATAGGTACCATATATTTTTTTTTAATCATTTTTATTTTTCAATTACATTTGATGATACCACATTTTCTTTATCCAATCATCTATCACCAGACACTCAGTTGTTTCCAAATCTTGGCTATTGTGAATAATGCTGCAATGAACATAGGGGTGCATATATTTTTCTGAATTAGTGTTTCGAATTTCTTCGGATAAACACCAGCAGTGGAATGCTGGGTCATATGGTAGTTCTACTTTTAACTTTTTGAGAAAACAACATACTGTTTTCCATAGTGGGCTTACCAATTTACAACCCCACCAAAAGTGCACAAGTATTCCCTTTGCTCCACATCCTCACCAAGACTTGTTTGTTGCTTTATTGATGATAGCTATTCTAACAGGTGTGAGGTGAAATCTCACTGTGGTTTTGATTTGCATTTCCCTGATCATTAGTAATGTTGAGCATCTTTTCCTAGGTCTGTTGGCCATCTGTGTGTCCTCTTTGGAAAAAAATGTCTATTCAGGTCCTCTTTTTTAATCAGGTTGTTTGTTTTTTGGTGTTAAATTGTATAAGTTCCTGCCCAGCCAGTGTGGCTTAGTGGTTGAGCATTGACCATGGACCAAGAAGTCACTGGTTCGATTCTCAATCAGGGCACATGCCCAGGTTGTGGGCCAAATCCCCAGTGTGGGGCATGCAGGAGGTGGCCAATCGATGTTCTCTCTCATCGACGTTTCTATCTCTCTCTCTCTCTCTCTCCCCTTCCTTTCCTCTCTATAAAAAAAATCAATAAAAGAAAAAAAAAATTGTGTAAGTTCCTTATATATTTTGGATTTTAACCCCTTATCAGATGTATCATTGGCGAATATCTTCTCCCATTCAGTAGATTCTTTTCATTTTATTGTTGGTTTCCTTTGCTGTGAAAAAAAAACCACTTTTTAATTTGATGTGATTCCATTCGCTTATTTTTTTCTTTGGTTATCCTTGCCTGAGGGGATATATAAAAATTTTACTTAATCATAGTGTTAAAAAATGTCTTTAGCTAACATTCACCATTTTTTTCACCTACTGATGATGAAGGGGGGAAAAATCTATACTTGATTGGTTCTTGAAGATACTTAAAAAAAAAAAAAAAAAAAAAAGATACAGCCCTGGCTGGTTTGGCTCAGCGGTTAGAGCGTCAGCCTGTGGTCCAGAGAGACCCGGGTTCAGTTCCCACTAAGGGCGTGTACCTCGGTTGCAGTTTGTCCTCAGCCCTGGTTGGTCATGCGGGGGGCAGCCACTCGATGTGTCCCTTTCCCATCAATGTTTCTCTCTCTCTCTCTCTCCCTCCCACTCTATCTGAACAAACAATAGAAAAATGTCCTCGGGTAAGGATAAAAAAAAAAAATGATACATGATGTATATTCATATATGCTGAGTACATAACTCATTAACTAAAATACTGGTAACTATTAAAGAGATGCAGTGTTGCCCGGCCAGCATAGCTCAGTGGTTGCACGTCGACCCATGCACCAAGAGGTCGCCGGTTCAATTCCCAGTCAGGGCACATGCCCAGATTGTGGGCCCGATTCCCAGTGGGGGGCAAGCAGGAGGCGGCCAATTGATGTTCTCTCTCATTGATGTTTCTATCTCTCTCTCCCTCTCCCTTCCTCTCTCTCTAAAAATCAATAAAGAAGAAAAATAAAAAGATGCAGTTTTATGATACATTAATTTCTCTGGGTATAAACTCAATTGCTTACCCACTGGTTATGACAGGTTTTGTAAAAGAAAAAAAAATATGCTTCATTAAGCAGTTAATTCTGCAGAGATGCTTATTATATAAATTTAATTAGTGAGAAATTTCTTTATAATAGAATCTAACAAATCTAATTTCTCTATTAAAGGAAGAGAATAAGCTACAGGTCTTTTCTTTTTTCAAAAGTAGCCAAGATGCCCTAAGAATATGAAATAATATCAGGAACTGCTCTCTGACAGCACTGTTCTGTGTAAGTAGACTTATTCTGCATAAAATATGATTTCCATGGCAGCCGGTGGTGCACTCCCACAAGGCCGAAGGAAATCATTGTGATGAGGCAGTCAAATTGCTTGGCGGCTGTGAAAGCCTGGCTTGAAGGACACTGATCCATTGTCCTAAAAACATCTTGTGACAACTTCGGGGAATGACGTTTCGGAGAATAGGATATACCCAGGTCCTTTGTTTTAAAAATGTCCTGGACTGGTCCAAATAATCAAAAACAACATAAACATGAAGAACTATGTGGTACTTGCTAAGGCAATGTTTAAATTTTATAAGTTGAATTTTTAAAAATACTTAAAAATGTATACTCAATTCCTTAAAAAAAATTAAAAACATTTACTGTCTGATCCAACAATTCCACTTCTGGGCATTTACAGTCAAAAGAACTGAAAGCAGGCTCTTGAGGAGATATTTGCACACCCACGTTCATAGCTGCATATTCACAACAGCCAAGAGTGGAAGCAACCCAGTGTCCATTGCTGGTTAAGTGTATAAACAACCCTGGCCGGTTTGGCTCAGTGGTTGGAGTGTTGGCCTGCGGACCAGAGAGTCCCGGGTTCGGTTCCTGCTAGGGGCACGTACCAAAAAAAAAAAAAAAAGTATATAAACAAATGTGGTATATACATACAATGAAAGATTATTCAGCCTTAAAAAGGAAGAAAATTCGGACACATGCTGCAACTCAGATGACCCTCGAGAACATTACACTAAGTGAAACAAGCCAGTCACAAAGAGACAATAACTGTATGATTACGCTTATATCTGGTGTCTAGAGCAATCAAACTCGTGGAAACTGAAAGTGGAATGGTAGTTGCTAGGGGATGGGGAGTTACTGTTTAAACAATATATAGTTTCAGTTTGGCAAAATTAAAAAGATCTGGGGCTTGGTTGCACAACAATATGAATGTACTTAACACTACCGGACTGTATACTTAAAAATGGTTAAGATGGTAGATTTTATGTTATGTGTGTTTCACCATAATTAAAAATTTTTCTAGCCCTGCCCCTGTGGCTCAGTGGTTGAGCACTGACCCATGCACTAAGAGGTCGCCGGTTCGATTCCCAGTCAGGGCACATGCCCAGGTTGTGGGCCTAATCTCTGGTGGGGGGCATGCAGGAGGCAGCCAACCAATGTTCTCTCTCATCGATGTTTCTCTCTCCCTCTCCCTCTCCCTTCCTCTCTCTCTAAAAATCAATAAAGAAAAAAAAATTTGTTTTAATTTTTTCTAAATATGCTTAACTAGTGTGGCTCAGTGGACTGAGCATATCCCATGGACTGAGAGGTCCTGGTTTGATTACCAGTCAGGGCACATGACTAAGGGGTGTGCAGGAGGGAGCCAATCAATGTGTCTCTCTCACATTGATGTTTCTCTCTCTCTCTCCCTGCCTCTCTCTCTAAAAAAAACAATAATACATATTTTTTAAAAATTAAATGCATATTTAAATAATTTAGAAATTAAAAAAAAAATTTTTAATTGACCTTAGAGAGAAACATCAATTGGTGGGAAACGAACCTGAAACCTGGGTATGTGCCCCGATCGGGAATCAAACCAGCGACTTTTCAGTGCACAGGAAGACATTCAACCAACTGAGCCACACCAATCAGGGTATAAAGTTGCATGTTTTGTTGATAAAGACATTTACTGGTTTGGGGGTTTTTTTCAAAGCAGCCTATTTCTGCATTGCCTCAGATAGATAACACAGATGAGAGGTAAGCTAGCAAAATCTGGTCCAGATTCTAGATGTACAGGTCTTAGAAAATGAGTTTCTATCTAGCCAAGGGCCTGTGTTATATTACACCTCCAACAACGCAGCCAGCCACCAAACACCTCAGCCCCACTCCCTCCTCATTCACAACTCCACAGAGACAGCGCGGCTGGGCTCTGGGATCACGTCCCCAAAGACAGAGCCGCTTCCCCACAGCTTCCATCTTTAATGCTCCTCTCCACATACAGTCAACTCACCCTGCCTCTGTTCTTCCAGGGGCTCTTTCCCCGCGAATCTGTCTTGTAATTTCCCCCGGATATCTTCTAGGTTATGGAGAATGTCTCTCACTTTCTCCTCAGGCATGCTGGGAGTCCCGAGCTGTGGGGCAGCCGAGGAATGGTCCACCCCGCCAGAAAAAGCCTGTTGATGCAGCATTAAAGAAATACTAATGGTGACATCTCCTCAGGACTGTAGCAAATAGTATATTCTCATCCTGCAACACATCTCTCGTTTCCCACTTACCTCCCAACGAGTTTTTAGAAACATCATTAGGCCCTCAAAATACACTCCTTGAAAACAATCTGGAATAATACATAGTACAGCAAAAATGTTCAAGAGTGGTGGGCCCTGGCCGGTTTGGCTCAGCGGTTAGAGCGTCAGCCTGCGGTCCAGAGAGACCCGGGTTCGGTTCCCGCTAAGGGCGCGTACCTCGGTTGCAGTTTGTCCCCGGCCCTGGTCGGTCGTGCGGGTGGCAGCCACTCGATGTGTCCCTTTCACATCGATGTTTCTCTCTCTCTCTGTTCTTCTCCCTCCCTCCCACTCTACCTGAACAAAAAATGGAAAAATGTCCTCAGGTGAGGATAAAAAAAAAAAAAAAAAGAGTGGTGGGATTACGAATGATTTTCATTCATTTTCGGTAAATTGCTATATATTTTTGCCCTGGCTGGTTTGGCTCAGCAGTTAGAGCGTCGGCCCACAGACCAGAGAGTCTCGGGTTCGATTCCGGTCAAGGGCACGTACCTCAGTTGCAGTTCGATCCCAGGCCCTGGTTAGGGTGGTGCAGGAGGCAACTAATCGATGTGTCTTTCTCACATCTATGTTTCTCTCTTTCTTTCTCTCTCTCCCTCCCTCCCACTCTATCTGAAAATCAATGGAAAAATATCCTTAAGTGAGGATTAAAATATAATAAATAAATAAACTTATATATTTTCTACTAGTTTGTACAATAAATATCAATTTCTTAAGTAGTACTAAAAAAAGTTAAAAGTTTTTAGGCCTGTATAATAGCAGCTTTACAAAATAAATGATACAGATAGTCACTGAGATAAGCCACAAAGACTAGGATAATCTTCCCCAGACTGCTATCCTTGAATCAAGAGACAACGTAAACATGTTGTCCGCATCCAGGCCAAGCTCTCTGGGGCTTCCAAACACATGCTCACTGATTTTCTTTAACCTCAGGTCCTATTAGTCCCCAACACAGCCTCCCATCTGCTCCTTCCCACCTAGCGCACAGGACTTTCCTTCCCAACTCTGCATACACCATTTCCCATGTCTTTCATCAATATAAGAGTATTAGGCACCACTTACTGAGTACCTGCTACTGCTCACCTTTAATTTGCATAACAACCTTCTAAGGTAGGTGTTTGTTTGTTTTTTTATTCCTCACCTGAGGATGTTTTTCTACTTATTATCTATTAGATAGAGTGGGAGGGAGGGAGAGAGAGAGAGAGAGAGAGAGAGAGAGACATCGATGTGAGAGAGCCACATCATCTGGTTGCCTCCTGCACAACCCGACCAGGGCCGGGGACAAACGTAACCAAGGTACATGCCCTCGACCGGAATTGAACCGGAGACTCATTGGTCCAAGGGCCGACACTCTAACCACTGAACCAAACCGGCCAGGGTCTAAGGTAGGTTTATTATCCCCATTTTGCAAAAGAAGAAGCTAACGTTCACTAAGTTTAACTAAAAATTGCCATAATTAATGTTATTGCTCTACATTTTCACATTGCTAAAGCACTTTTTTTCATACAAGATCCCTTTTAATTCCATCAAACTAATGAAGCTGCAGGCTTCATTATTCCTATTTTACAAATAGAAACCTGAGATTCAGAAAGATGAAATGACTTCCCCAAGCTCATAATACTAGTGAGTTGGCAAGGTCAGGTCTGAAAGTCAGACCACCAGACTTTCCACCCCACACATTGCATCCCTGCACCCGCTCATTCATTCATTCAGCGGGAAGGGTCTGGCACTGTGCTCGGCCTGGGGATACAAGGGTGAACAAAAGAACAAAAAGCCATCAAGGTCTCTACCTTCATGAAGCTTACTGTCCAGGGCAAGAGAAGAGGTAGGACAGACGTTACTAAATGATGGCACCAGCCCTGGCCGGTTTGGCTCAGCAGTTAGAGCATCACCCGCGGACCAAAGAGTCCTGGCTTTGATTCCGACCAAGGGCATGTACCTTGGTTGAGGTTCGTCCCCAGCCCGGTTGGGATCATGCGGGTGGCAACCAATCGATGTGTCACTCTCACATGGATGTTTCTCTCTCTCTCTCTCTCTTCCTCCCACTCTACCTGAAGATAAATGAAAAAATATCCTCAGGTGAGTTTTTTTTTTTTTTTTTTTTTTAAACTTAACAAAAAGTAAATAAATAAATTATGGCACCAATTATCACCAAGTTGCAGCTGTGATAACTGCTCCAAATGAAAGGTACATGGACTCATGTGAGCCTCCAACAGGGGGATTTGCCCTGTTCAAGGAAATCAGTGAAGTATTCTCCAAGAAAGTGATGACCTGCGTGGGGTCTGAAGGACGAGTGGGCATTACCTAGGTGACGGGTGAAATAAGAATATTCCGTGGAGTTCGCCCTGTGGTGAGTAAGTGTGACGACACCCTGGAGGGTCTGAGGTGGGCCGGTGTGGCTGGAGCCCGAAGAGCCAGGAAGCACTGGGTGAAATGCGATGGGAGAGGCAGAGAGAAAACCCTGCAGGGCCTTGTTGATTCTGGGAGGATTTGGATCTTAATCCTGCGCAAACAGATGGCATTGGAGTGTTTTAAGCAGCTGAGTTACGTGATCAGATTTGTGTTTGAGAGGGTCACTCTGATGACCACGGGGACAGCAGACTAGAGGGGGTAGAGTGGAGCAATTAGGAGGCTACTGTAGCAATCCAGGTAAGAAATGGTCATAAGCTTGGATTAGAGATGTCTCAAAGGAGCTCAAGAGTAGTAAACAGATTTGAGAGCTGTTTTGGCAGGTGAGGGAGGAGGGGACAGGATTCCCAGGTTTCTGGCTTGTGCCCTCGGATGAATAACAGCGCCAGCAGATGGAGAATTCCAGAGGAGCATGGCTGGGGCATGGTAAGTGTCATGTGCCTTTGAGATACCAAGAGGAGAATATGAGAAGGAAGATACCAGAGTAGAGCTCAGAGAAGTGGCCAGGCTGGAGCTACGTTTGTGCTAATTAAAGCCAAGGGTGTGGGGAAGAGAAAGGGACCTACAGCTCAGCTCGGAGGAATCCCAGCATTTCATTGCTAAGCAGAATAGAGTGAGCCTGCAAATCAGACGGAAAAGGAGCAGCCACAGAGAAACAGGGAAAGGCTTGAAGACTCGTGTAGCAGAAGCTGAGGGAAAAGAAAGCTTTGAGAATGAAAATCTTTGTATGGTTTGGCTCAGCGGTTATAGCGTTGGCCGGCAGACTGAAGAGTTCATGGGTTCGATTCCTGTCAAGGGCACATACCTAGGTTGCAGGTTCCATCACCAACCCTGGGTCTCTGACCCCAGGTCCTGCAGGAGGCAACCGATTGATGTGTCTCTCTCACACTGATGTTTCTATCACTTTTTCTTCCCTTCCCCTCTATGTAAAAATTAAAGGAAAAAATATCCCCGGGTGAGGATTAACAAACAACAAAAGAATGAAGGTGTGGCTGTGCAGGTGTGGTTCAGTTGGTTGAGCATGTCCCATGCAGCAGCAGGAGGTCCCTGGTTTGATTCCTGGTCAGGGCACATGCCTGGGTTTCCACTCCATTCCCAGTAGGGGGTGTGCAAGAGGCAGCCCACTGATGTTTCTCTCATTGATATTTCTATCTCCCTCTCCCTCTCCCTTTCTCTTCTGGGAAAAAAACTAAAACAAAAACATATTTAAAGAAAATAGTTATTTGTATGTACCAAAGGCCATTGAAAGGTCAGTGAAGATGAGGACTAGAATGTCTGCAGGATTTACACAGAGGCCACTGGTGATCCTAGAGTTGGGTAGGTGGGGTGACAAGGATAGAACCCAGGCCTCTTGAAGCTTCCTACCTCACCTCAAGCACTCCAAACCTCCAGTCATCCCTGTTTGGTAGTAAAGAGAATGATAAAAGATTGAGAATCAGCCCTGGCCGGTGTGGCTCAGTGGTTAGAGCATTGGCCCGCAGACTGGAGAGTCCCGGGTTTGGTTCCCACTAGGGGCACTACCTCGGGTGCAATCTGTCCTCAGCCCCGGTTGGGGTCATGTGGGTGGCAGCCACTCGATGTGTCTCTCTCACATCGATGTTTCTCTGTCTCTCTTCCTCCCTATCTCCCTCCCTCTCTATCTGAATCAATGCAAAAATGTCCTCAGGTGAGGATTAAACAAACAAAAAAAAGATTGAGAATTATTGCGTCCTTCAATTGCAAACATATTCCTGGTGCTCCAGGGCTGTCCCTAGCCCTGCCCCCTGCAACATCCTTTTGAGGTAGGCAGTTGGACATGAGCAGAGCAAGGACCCCCTGACCTTTCCTCCCTGGAGATAACATCTGGGCCTCAGTTGTGTTTCAGCTCCAGGCCCAGAAAAGCAGCAAAACCAGACTAGTGACCCCAAGGCTGATGCTGATGGCTGACCTCAGGATCAGCTGCATTGACCAATGGCATCCTGCCCTGGCACTGACCAATCACTGGAGGCTCAACCCTGAAAAGACACACCTGGAAAACTGCTGAATATTCTATTGAGATCTTCCCCTAGGACCTCCCCTAAAATATCCACCCTTAAAACCCTTAGGTGGAAGGACACAGCATGCTCTCTCTCTCCCTCCCAGGAGCATGCAGGCCCTCCCCTCCTCCTCCCTCCAGGTGCATTACCATTACGTTCCTCATTCCCAAGATCCAAGGGCCCTTCCTTTACCTCTATAACTTGTTTCCTATGCCCATTTTGTTGTGGCACAAGAGAACCGAGAGACCACCAGAGCCAAATTAAAGCCAAATAGAGAGCAAAGCCAGCCAGCGACTGATCCTGAGTTCTTGGAGACCAGCCCCGGGGCCTCCAAATGTTGTGGCGCGACAGAGTCAAAGACAGACCACTAGAAAACTGAAGTCCAAATAAGAGCCGTTTATTAGCTGGCCAGTGCTGATTCCGAACACCCCTGTGACAGAGTCTTCGGAATCAGCCCCGATATGCTTTACTACATGCCTTTTATACCTTACAGAAAATAGGATTTTCTTGATATAATGCCCAGGGCCACAACAATGCTGTATAGAATTAGTTTGCCTTGTGGATAACAGTAACACCCAGGCATTTCAGGTATTTCAAGGTACACTGGGTCACACTTAGCCCTAAGCTGCACAAACACAATGCAAGTCGAATTCCTTGAGACTGTGGGGGAGGTCGAGTCTCTGACTGAAGACCTCCAGGCTCCGTGGACTCTGTCAGACATGTAGCCGGCTCCCAACAATTTCTTGGTTCAGGGTGTATTCCAATGTACTGAGGTTATTTTGACTAAACAGGTTCAGCTAGAGGGCTCACAGTGACTTTCCCAATCATCAATTACGGGGTTATAAACATGCCAGCACAATTTCTTCTACCTCTGTGATTTTCCAAATAAATGTTCTCTTAGAGTCTGAGTCTTGGTTCTGAATTCTTTCCTAGTCAGAACTCAAGTACCGAGGTTGCTGAACCCAGGTCCGGGCGGACCCCACTGGTCTAACACCTGGTGCCGGTTCCCACCACCCACAGCACTTTCCTCTCCCAGCTGAGCCTACCATGCCCAGGGTGTTCAGTTTGTTCTCTGGTCCAGATTCTGGGAGGTGCCTCTGATTCTGAAGGCTCCTGACAATGTCCACAAGCTGATCCACCAGCTCTGCCAGCTCATGACCAACTTCTGGGATGCCCTTCGGTGCCGTCACCTTTAAAAGAGCAAAGCAGAACACAAAGCTGGACCCGGGAACCAGCTCTAGACAGAGGGTGAAGACTAGATAAAAGAAACAAGCAAGGAAGTGACCAAAATATTCAGAGGACAAGGAGGTAGACTTCCTAAACCGTTTGCATGTCCATTTATTGATTGTCTAGTGGCCATAACAGGAAACCAGAGTCCATCGCTGGGCTGGAGGGGGAGGGGAATGGGAGTAAAGTGTAAAGGGCAGCCTAGGGGTCATTATGAACAGGGGAAGTCAGAGAAGAAATGGGTGTGAGCCTGGAGACCTGGCAGGTCCGTGGTAGTTGATAAAGTGAGTGGTGTAGTGCAAGGCATGTGGCTCAGGTTTAAGTTCCACTCTTGCCTCTGACTCATCCTATGTCCTCACCACGCCTTTCAGAAATGTAAGTGACCATCCCTCCTTCTCCTCCATGGGGAAAAGGATCTACCTAACTGTTCACTGTGGAAAGATCTAGGAGACTTTAGTAATGTACAGATGACAACTTGTTTGTTTATTATATATTTAACATTAAAAACATTTTCAGAAGGGAGTACTAAACAATGCCACTTAAAGAGTTTAACCTGCTCAGCAGCCTGGTTGGGAGTACACATTGCAGCCAATATATTTGGGCAACAACCTCAAGACCTGGTGACAGTCATCAGAGGCCGGCTGGGCATGGACCTCAGTGGAGAACTCTGCATCACCTCCAAAAGGGGTGGTTCTACACAGAGTCACAAAAATACAAGGTGTTCATCATCAGAGTTTTTATAACTTTGTTTAGACAGTTATCATACTTTAAACTTTGATGGAACCTCAAAAACTGAAATTGACCCAGGACCTTTTCCATCTCTTAAAAACCCCTGATGTCCCTCAAAACAGCATGTGTTTGGGAAGTCATAATCAGGCGATTTTAGTGAGGGAGGTGGCTGACCACTTGTAACACTGCTCTTAAATTTCCAGGCTCCACTCCTAAATATTCAAGCAGCTGGAATTCTGGAGTGGAACCCTTATCCAGGCACCTAAGCAAATTAAAAACTTTTAAAAATAAGAGCATTGCTTTTTCTATCCATAAGAGAAATGCACACTTATTTTGGCAAATTTAGAGAATGAAAAAGAAATGTTTTAAATCATCTAATATCCTACCATCCAAAGACAATCATTTTCATTTAAAAGCCAATGGGAAGTATATTCATTCACTATAAACTACATTAACAAAGAGTTTTAAGAACCTGAGGTATAGCCCGGTTGGTGTGGCTCAGTGGACTGAGTGATGTTCCATGGACTGAGAGGTCCCAGTTTGATTCCCAGTCAGGGCACATGCCAGGGTTTCGGACTCGATCCCCAGTTGGGGGTGTGCAGGAGGCAGCTGATTGATGTTTCTCTCTCACATCTATATTTCTATCTCTCTCTCCCTTCTTCTCTCTCTAAAAAAGTCAATTAAAACATTAAATGAATATATACACATATATATACATATCTGAGGAATAATGCTGTATTTATAATCTAAAAGCAGAGAACAGGCTTTATTCCAAATTGCCAAAAAATGGAATCAACCAATATGTCCATCAAAAGGTAAATGGATAATCTGGCCAGTGTGGCTCAGTGGTTGAGCATCGATCCATGCACCAAGAGGTCACTGGTTCGATTCCTGGTCAGGGCACATGCCCAGGTTGTAGGCCAAATCCCCAGTGGGGAGGGCATGCAGGAGGCGGCCAATCGATGTTCTCTCTCATCAATGTTTCTATCTCTCCCTCTCCCTTCCTCTTTCTCTAAAATCAATAAAGAAAAAAAAAAAAAAACCTTAAAAAAAAAAAGGTAAATGGATAACCTGGGGTACATCTATGCAATAAAATATTATTGAACACAAAAAGAAATGAGCTATCAAGCCACAAACCTTAATTTTGCTTTGTGAAAGATGCCAGTCTGAAAAGGCTAGATACTGTATGATTCCAACTATGTGACATTCTAGAAAAGGCAAAACTAAAGAGACAGTAAATAGATCAGTAGTTGCCAGGGATTGGGTTAGGGGTACAAAAGCCATAGAACTGTACAATATGAAGAGTGAACCCTAATTTAAACTATGGATATTAGTAAATAACAAGTATTAACATTGGTTTATCAATTGTAACAAATGTACCACACTAATGCAAGATGTTAATATAGGAGAAACTGTGAGGGGTATGTAGGAACTTCCTGTACTATCTACTCAATTTTCTGTAAACCTAGAACTGATCCAAAAAAAGTCTATTAATGCATTAAAAAAAAAAAAGACATAACCTGGCTATACAACACAACCTCAGCTCTGTTTAAAAGGACTTCAGAGAACAACAAAAGGATGGCGTGGGCAGCTCCAAGCTCTTGCCCGCCCCCCCCCCCCCACACACACACACACAAACATCTAAAAAACAAGCAGAAAACTGTCAAAAACAGCTTTGTCAGAACTCTGGAAAACACTGAATCAAAAAAGAGCAAACTGGTGGAAGAAACGCTTTGTGGTGTTTTTACTAGTCTTTGCCCCATTCCCTCCCTAGCTCAGTAAGAGTATTCAAGATTCCCAGCATGGGACCCTCGTCCTGGTTCTGGAGGGAGGAAAGCACATCCTGTTCACAAATTGTCAAGTATGTCTGTTCTAACCTGGCTGGGGCTGCCCGAAGGAGTGGCACAGGGTACACATCTTTATTTCACCTGACTCGGGCCAGAAAGGCAGTGGGCATGGCTCACAAAGGCTACAAGTGGGACTAAACTTGCAGATGTCTGGTGCAAAAGATTATGGTTGAAACATCTAAGTCCCAGGAGCAAAAGCTGGGGAAAACTGGACCCCTCCTACTTTTCTGATGGGAATGTAAAACTGCTGTGGAATACAGTTACACGTTGACCCAGCAAACACACTCCTAGGTGTATTTGACATTAGAGACTAGGGTACTTTACACCAATGTTCACTACATTACTCACAATAATCAAAAGGTGGAAACAATCCAAATGTCCATGGACTTTTAAAAATATGGTATATACATACAAGAAAATATTATTCAGCCACAAAAAGGAATGAAGTCTGGACCCAGGGTACAACATGAACAAACCTTGAAAACATGATGGTCAGTGAAAGGAGCTAGACACAAGGGACAGACGTTGTATGAGTCCACTTACATGAAATATGTAGAGTAGGCAAATATGTAGAGACAGTAAGTAGATTAGAGGTTACCGGAGGGTGGAGAGAACGAAAAGTTATTGCTTAGTGAGCACTTTCTGTTTGTGGTGATGAAAACGTTATGCAAATAGTGGTGATGGTTGTACAACACTGTAAAAATAACTAAAGCCATTAAATTATACGCTTAAACATGGTTAACATGGCAAATTTTGTTCCAGATATTTTACCACAATAAAAAATTTTTAGAGAGACAGACCATGGAAAGACCAGAAAGAAGTGGAACTATGTCAAGAAGTATAGCAGCGAGGCTGAAAAGATCTCAGATGTGAGATTTCTTTCTGCTTCTTCATACTTTTCCGAACTTTCCAAGAGCGGGTTCTACTTTTGGAAAGATGGAGAAAAGTAAAGTGAAAGCAGGATGAGAGAGAAAGAGCCCTGGGGCGGGGCGGGTACGCGGCTGGGTCCTGTCATCCTACCCGCGAAGGTGCAGGGCGGCGCGGGGGCCGGGGGGCGGGGCCAGGGGCGGGGCTCGGGGGCCCGCGGGGGCCGCTCTCCAGCTCGCCCACCGCCCGGCTGTACTTGTCCGCCAGGTCCTGCAGCAGCGTGTTCTTCCGCAGCTGCAGCGGCTGCCTGTCGCCCTCGCGGCAGGTGGGGCAGGACCAGTGGCGCCTCGCGTCCCACCGACCCTTCAGGCAGTCTCGGCAGAAGCTGTGGCCGCAGGGCAACGTGACGGGCCAGGCGAGCAGCCCATGACAGATGATGCAGCCCAGGTCGTCCTCGGCCAGCCACACAGGCACGGTCGGACCGATGTCCAGGCCCGCCATGGTCCCAGGCCGCCGCCCGGAAGCAGGGTCACAGCGGGGACCGCCCGCCGCTGCTACGTCTCCTCCGGCTCCTCCCTCGCCCTTCCTCTCCGCTCCTCTCGCCGCCTCTTCCTCTCCTCCTGGAGGTCCACGCGTTTTTCCGTTCTCCGGTGCTGCTGCAAGCTGACTTGGAACATCCACCGCCCGTCTTGCGGCGCCCAGCCCGCTCTGACCGCAGCCTCCTGCGCTGGGAAATCAGGTCACCCCAAACCGTCAGGAGCCCGCGGATGTCCCAAAGATTTCCTTCACCTTGATCACCCCCCACCCCAAACGCAACCCCGACAATTCTTGGGAGAAGAAAAACGAGAGGATTCTGCTCCAGATTCTGTTAAAAGAATGCGCCTGCTAGTGCCCTGGCCGATGTGGCTCAGTAGGTTGGGCTCAGTCTGTGCAAGGAAGGGTTGGTTGCAGGTTGCTGGTTGCTCGTTGGATTCCCGGTCAGGGCACATACCCAGGTTTCGGCTCAATCCTCGGTAAGGAGCATGCAGGAGGCAGCTCCGTTCTCACATCTATGTTTCTCTCTCCCTTTTCCTTCCTCTCTACAAATTAATTTTAAAATATTTAAAGGGGTGGGGCTGGAGATTCTTCTTTCTTCTTCTTCTCCTTCTCCTTTTTCTTCTTCCTCCTCCTCCTCCTCCTCCTCCTCAGCTACGTAGTGTTCCATTGTGTAAATGTACCTGAGCTTTTTTATCCACTCATCTACTGATAGGCACTTGCCCTGTTTCCAGATCTTAGATAATGTTGCTATGAACATAGGGGTGCATATATGTTTTGAAATTCTTGGTATATTTTCCTAGAAGTGGAATTACGGGGCCAAATATGGGGGGAAATGGGGACATCTGTAATACACTCAACAACGAAAGAATACGCCCACTAGGTGTCAGAATGACCTGCGCACAAAGCTGAGAGGCTCTTTAAAAATACCACTGTTGGGGCTCCGCTCCCAGAGGCTGATTTCATTGTCTGGGATAGAGCCCAGGCACGGGTATTTTTAAACCCCCCCTCACCTCCACCCCCACCCCCTATAAGTCAAACGTGCAAAGCTGAGTGACCTTAGATTTTTAAATTCGCTATTACATCCCTGGCTGGTTTGGCTCAGCGGTTAGAGTTGGTCTGCGGTCCAGAGAGAACCGGGTTCGGTTCCGCTAAAGGCACGGACCGGCCCTGGTTGGGTCGTGCGGGTGGCAACCGCTCGATGTGCTCCTTTCACGTCGATGTTTCTCTCTCTCTCTCTCTCTCTCTCTCCCCCCCCCCCCACTCTTTCTGAACAAAATATGGAAAAATGTCCTCGGGTGAGGATTAAAAAAAAAAAATTGCTATTACAGGGCAGGATTGTGCTGCTGCCTCCTTACTGCCCTCTGCTGTCTGAAAGGACGTTACCCTACAGGTATTGGGACGAAAGTACTAGAAAGTCTTTCTTACAGCTTGCACACTTGGTCCTGGTGGGACTTACTTTCTTCCTCCTCTCTTATGCCAGTCCTAAGCGCATTACAACCAGGAAACGTTGGAGCTGGAAGAGCACCAAGTCCTCTCCAAAGACCGAAAGAGGCAAAGGAACTCCAGACTTACATAGCAATAACTGCGTGGCAGAGACCAGAACCCCTCTCACTCTGATCTGTTGAAGTGAACTAACAGTGTCTTATATTTCATCCCCATCTTACATCTCAAAGTAGGTACCAGATAATACAAATGTGTGGCTATTTCCAATACTGGAAATTGTAGGTAGTAGTCAATAAAACTTAGCTTTTAGCGCTGCTTATGAAGGTTCCAATTCTTTCCCTTTCTAGGCACCTGGTGATTGGCACTCCTCTTACCCACTTGAAACTTACAGAAATAATACTTGTTAACTTCCCATCATCTTAAAAAGCCAGTGAGAATCATTGTATCTTTTTCTGCTAGCTGCCCTGACTATGGAGATGAAGCCATCACCTGGTGGCCTGGGTCTCTGAGTGGCTAGGACGAGCAGATCCCCTGCCAACCCACACTAGGACATGTAGTAGAGAAGAGCAATAAACTTGGGATATGTTAAGTTAACTGAGATTTAGTGGGTGTCTATTGCTACAATATAACCTAGCCTATCCTGATATATATTTGACCCTTGAACCACTCAGGGGTTAGGGTACTGACCCTTGGACAGTCAAAAATTTGCATATAACTTTTGACTCCCCCCAAACTTAGCTGTCTCTGAGTATTCATGGGATGGGGGATTGGTTCCAGGACCCCCGTGGATACAAAAGTTCACGATACTCAAGTCCTCTCTATAAAATGTCTTAGATCAGTCTTCCTTCCCCCACCCCAACCTAAGTATCTCCTACTCATTCTTTAGGGTTCAGCATAGGTACACCTCTTTTGGAGAACTTTATTAGGCAGGACTGACTCAAGTAACAAACTTCCTTGTACTAACAAGTCAAAAGGGAGAAGAGGATTTAATATAACAGTACAGAGGAAAACCTTGGGGAACCCAATGACAGAGATCCAGCCAGGCCTCAGAAACCAACCCAAACCAGGCACTCCATTTCACTGGGACTCCATCTTTTGTCTCTGTTCTTCGCCCCTCGGAGGGGCTCCTCAGAACCCCAGCTTCTCTCAAGTAGCTTTGTTACTGTCTGTCTATTTCTGTTTCTTGCCCTCTGGACCACAGGTTCCCTAAGGGAAGAACTATGTTTTTATTTTCTCATCCTCAGAACTTAGCAGAATACAACCAACAGAGCTCACAGGAGGGGGAAAGAACATAAAAAGGCAGACACCTAAACTGACCCTTAATATACAACCCTGCAGGTGTTGAAATTTCCAAGGTGCTTTATGAGCCAGAGGAGGAAGCAGCCCCTTCTCTGTCTAGGAATCAGGAAGACTAAGAAATGACACCTGGATTATGTTACTTGTCCTCTGATTGGGGCATGCGGGGGGCGGGGGGTGTCCAAAGAAAAATACCACGAAAAGCAGAGAATATCTAAAAAAAAGCCTCCTAAGCCTCATTAGGTCTCCACCAAAATGAAGAAATAACACCCAGTGTCACTCTACACATCCCCTGAAGGGACAAAGAATCATAAAGCAGAGAACTTGGTGATCTATTTCTGTAACATCTCAGGTATCCGAGATTCTTTCCAGTTCTCTTTCCCAAGTTGGGGTCTTGGACTATTGTCTTGCCTCAGCCTAAAGTGTTTCGTCATCCTTGTCCTTTTGACTCACCTCTCAACAGCTTTAAGGTTTCAACTTTAACGTCACTTTCTGGAGAAGAAGGAGGCTGCCCACTCCCCTTCAGTTGGGGTAAACCAACCCCATTGCCACAAACTCCCACATCAGGCTGTTCTGCTTTCTGAACACTCGCCAATTGGTCCTGCCCTCCTGCAGTCTGTCATCTGCGACAGCAGGGACCACGTCATCTGGTTCCTGCCTAGTCCCAGGGCTTGGCACAGAGCCAGGCACCTTGGAGGCGTTCAAAAATACTTGCTTCCATTGAATTTCAATGGTTAGTACCACTTTCTCACTGGAGAGAGGAAAACCAAGGCACAGAGGTGGGGAAGTGAGTTTTCCACCAGGCTCACCTTAGGGGCAGGGCCAGGCCTGACACCTGGGTTGGTAGCTCTCTGCACCGAGGTCCAGGCGAGCTGTCTCCTTGGCTGCCTTCATTCCTTGCAGAGCTCAATGATGAGCAATATGGATGCTGGCTTTTTGTATTATCTAGGCTTTTATTTCTTCTAAAGTGTGCATGCACATGAAACTCTCCCAGGAATATTTTTGATTCATGTAGAGAGAACACTGTTTTTTAGCAGTGAAAAGTGGATGTTTATTTTATTTTTTTTTTATTTCCCCTGCCCTTGCTGGTGTGATTCAGTTGGTTGAGAGTTGTCTCATGTACCAAAAGGTCTCTGGTTAGATTCCCAGTCAGGGCACATACCTATTAGTGGGCTTGATCCCCAGTAGAGGGTATGTAGGAGGCAGCTAATTGATGTTTCTCTCTGTTCCTCTCCCTGTCTCTCAAAAATCAATAAAAATATATTTTACAAAAAATTTTTCCCCTAAGTCTTTAATTTGAACACTTTCAAATCTGTAGAAAGTTTGCATGAATAGGACATAACACCCACCTATACTTCATCCACATTAGCAATTTTCAAATGGTGTGCTGCAAGAATTTTTAAAACGTGCAATACCTGACTATTTAGTCAGGGGCACTGACCTCTTTTCCTTTAGAAAGTCAAATTTAAAAATGACAACAGCCAACACAACAATAGTTGTCTGGTGTGAATTAATCAAAATTATACCTATTCTTTTGTCAGGTTGGCTAAAAGTATAATATATGTTTTTTGTTTTCATATTAATTTTTTGAGAGAGAGAGAGGAAAGGGGGAGAAAGATCAATGTGAGAGCGAAATATCAATCAGCTGCCTCCTGCAAGCCCCCTACTGGGGATCAAGCTGGCAACCTTTTGGTGCACAGGACAATGCCCAACCAACTGAGCCACACTGGCCAGGGCAAAAAGTATATGTTTTGGTGTGCTGCAGAATCTCAGTAATCAGTTTATGTGTGCCATGAGATAAAAAGGGTTGAAAATTGCTGCTCTAGATTCATCAGTTGCTAACATTTTGTTGTTGTTTTTTGTGTTTTTTAATCCTCACCCGAGGACATTTTTGCATTTATCTTCAGATAGAGCCGGAGGGGGGGGGGAGGGGAGACATCATGTGAAAGAGACACATCAACTGGTTGCCACCCACATGACCTCAACCAGGGCCGGGGACAAACCACAACCGAGGTACATGCCTTTAGTGGGAACCAAACCTGGGACTCTCTGGTCCGCAGGCCGATGCTCTAACCACTGAGTCAAACTGGCCAGGGCGTTGTTGCTAACATTTTGCATAGCAGCTCTTTCATCCCTGCCTCTCTCCCCATATATATATTCCATCTTCCATATGTTTAGGGCATGTGTGTGTGTGAGAGAGAAACATCGATCGGCTGCCTCCTGCATGCCCCTCACTGGGGACTGAGCCTGAAACCCGGGCATGTGTTCTGACTGGGAATCGAACTGGGACCTCTCAGTCCATGGGACATGGCTCAATCCACTGAGCCACACCAGCTGGGCATATATGTATATATGTATATATTCTTTGTATATACTCTACCTACATGTGCACATACACTTATTATTTGCTGAACTATTTGAGTCAGTTGTAGACTGAAAATTATTATATTTTATCCCTGACCACTTACTTCAATACATATATATCCCCTAAAAATAAGAGTGTTCTCCTATACAAATACAACATGATTATCACAGTCTTATAATATTAATGGCTAATATACATCCATACTCAAATTTATATTCTTTATAACTTTTTTTTTTAAATCCAGGATCCAGTCAAGAATTACAAGTTGCCTGGTGTTGCTCTTTGGTCTCCTTTAACCTGGAACAGTTCCCACACTACTTTATCTGTTATGATGTTGACATTTTTGAGGAGTCCAGGCCAGTTGTTTTGCAGAATGTCCTTCACATAGATTTGTCTGACTATTTCCTCACGGTGAGTCAGACTGAACTTTCTGGAGGGAAAGCATGGCACTCGAGTGATGCTGTGGTGCCTGTCCATTGCAGTGCCTCCATCACGGATGTCCTGGGCCTTGAGGACATGTACCAGGTCCCCTGACACCCAGGGCTGGGCAGTGGTGAGGCCCAGGGAGCTGGCAGGTAAAAGCCAAAGCTTTAGCTATGGCAGAGTTCACTGCCAGTGATGGGTGCCAACTGCGGAGCACCCGGCTGGATGACCAAGGCCGAGCTGCAAACTTCTCCTTCCCTCCAAGAGCTCCCATGGCCAGTGGCCAGCCAGTTCCTCAGCCAGTGTGTCACCTCCTGCTGTGGCCACTCTCTGCTGATGCAGCTGCAAGGGGGAAAGAAGAGGGATGAGGGGGCGGCTGTGCAAATGCAGCCCTACAGGAGGGAAAGGACAGCAGGGGACAGGAGGAACCAGAATTTAGAAAGGACTGGGCCCGCCTGGCCGGTGTGGCTCAGTGGTTGAGCATTGACCCATGCACCAAGAGGTCACCAGTTCGATTGGGGGTCAGCGTACATGCCCAGGTTGTGGGCCTGATCCTCAGTGAGGGGCATGCAGGAAGCAACCAATTGATGTTCTCTCTCATCAATGTTTCTCTTTTTTGTTGCTCAGATAGAGTGGGAGGGGGAGAGAGGGGGAGGGGAAAGAGAGAGAGAGAGAGAAACATCAACGTGAAAGGGACACATCAAGTGGCTGCCTCCCACATGACCCAACCAGGACCAGGGACAAACTACAACTGAGACACGTGCCCTTAGTGGGAACCGAACCCAGGTCTCTCTGGACCGCAGGCCGACGCTCTAACTGCTGAGCCAAACTGGCCAGGGCTCTCCACTATGTTTCTCTCTCTCTCTCTCTCTCTCTTTCTCTTTCTCTTTCTCTCTCTCTCAAATCATTAAAAAAAAAAAAAAAAAGAAGGACTAGGCCCACCCTGGCCAGTTTGCCTCAGTGGTTGGAGTGTTGGCTTGCAGACCAAAGGGTTGAAAGTTTGATTCTCAGTCAAGGGCACGTACCTTGGTTGCAGGTTTGATCCCGAGCCCCGGTGGGGGTCATGCGGTAGGCAACCAATTGATGTGTCTCTCTCACATTGCTGTTTCTCTCTCTCTCCCTCCTTCCCTTGTACTCTATCTACAAATCAATGGAAAAGTATCCTCAGATGAGGATTAACAAAAAAACAAAAACAAAAACAACTGGGCCCTGGCAGGTGTGGCTCAGTGAGTGTCATCCTGTGCACCAGAAGGTCGCCACAGGTTCGAGTCCTGGTCAGGGCACATACCCAGGTGGCAGGTTCGAAATATATTTTAATTGACTTTTTAGAGAGAGGAAGGGAGAGAGAGACAGAAATGATGTGAGAGAGAGAAACATCGATCGGCTGCTTCCAGCACGCCCCCTACTGGGAATCAAGCCAAAACCCGGGCATGTGCCCTGACTGGGAATTGAACCAGGACCTCTCAGTCCATGGGATGATGCTCAATCCACTGAGCCACACCAGCTGGACTCTAAAATAAAATTTAAAAAAGGACTGGAAGGGTGAGAGACAGAGGGGACACACACACCAGAGAAGAAGAGAGGGGCAGAGAGTGAGAGACAGAAACAGAGAGAGACTCAGACACACAGGCCACAGGGAAAGGAAGGCACCAGCGGATGTGCTCCACTAACAACTGAGTCTGTTTCCGAGGCACTTTGGCTCTGAGGTTTCGGAAAGTGAAGGGAGTTTGTGTTTACACTGGTCAGACTCAAAGAGCACAGGGGTTTCTCCCAAGGGGCCATGTGGGGTCACTTGCTCAGTCTGTACTTTCCCAAACACAGAACTTCTTGGGGCCCCAGAAGCCAGACCCTGGGCCAGAAGTTTCCTGCTCTAGCTCAGAATGCCTCCCCTTTATTCACAGGGCTGTTGGCAGACAGGGAAGCCTACTTGTGACACATCTGGGGTAAAGCGGGGAGCAGGAGGAGGGCAGACAGAATGGAGGACCCAGAGAAAAGGGCACTAAAAATAGCCTTCCCTCTGTGAGTGAGGCAGAATCCAAAATCCTGGGAGCTGGGCCCTGGCCAGGAAGCTTAGTTGGTTAGAGCATCATCTACATACACCAAGGTTTCGGGTTTGATCCCCATCAGGGTACATACAAGAAGCAACCAATGAATGCAAGAAAAAGTGGAACAACAAATCTCTCTCTCTCTCTCTCTCTCTCTCTCTCTCTCTCTCTCTCTCTTTCTCTCAAATCAATACATTAAAAAAAAAATTTTAATCTGGGAGCTACCCTGCAAGGTGTGACGTTAGCTAATAATAACAGGCCAGGCTTTTCTCACGAGAAAAGGGTCTTAGGGGAAGGGAGCTGGAGGAAGACAGAAGCTGCTGGGCCCCTGGACTCAGCAGAGCAGAGAAGGGGTCTAACCAGTTTCTGACAGAGCAAAATTCCAGATGTCATTGGGGGACAGTTCCTTAAAGAGGAACTTAGCGTGGACAGAGGGGGCCTCCTGGCTCTAACGTACACTGTCTGTACTTCCCTTCGGCAGGAAGAGAATAGCAAAAGCATAGTCAGGAGCCATGACCTAGGTCTCAGGGCTCACAGCTGACTCAAGTGAAGAAGCCCCTTTCTGCCCTCTGCCTTTGGCCCAAAGAACAACCCCCAGGCCCTGCATCTTACTGAGGAGGTTGAGGGCTGTCAAGGGGCGGGAGAGCACATCTCGCAGACTCTCCAGCCACTCCCCCTGCTCCTTCTCGCTGGGGCAGGTGAAGAGGAATTTGCGCTCCGGGGTGACGATGGTGAGGCCGGCCTTCCAGCGATTCCCTCGGACGCCCTTGGGCAGGTCTTCATACACCTCGTACCCCTGCTCTCGGCTCCCGAGAAACACCTGGCCCAGCTCAAAGGCATCCTGAAAATAGAGGACACGTGGTCACGAGGCCACACCTGGGGCAGAGGTGCAGCCATGATTGTCTCCACTGGGGATTTTTGCTAGGCGGGGCCTAGAATTCGAAAGGCTGAAACGGTAAAAGAAATGACATACATCATCTGTTAAAATGATACTTGGGCACTGCCCGGTTTGGCTCAGCAGTTAGAGCGTTGGCCTGCGGACCAAAGAGTCATGGGTTCGATTCCTGTCAAGGGCATATACCTCAGTTTCGGTTCGTCCCTGGTCCCAGTCAGGGTCATGCGGGGGGCAACCAGTTGATGTGTCCCTCTCACATCAATGTTTTTCTCTCTCTCTTTCTCCCTCCCTCCCACTCTATCTGAAGATAAATAGAAAAATAGCCTTGGTGAGGATTTAAAAAAATAATAAAATAAATAAAATGAGACTTGGTATTGCCCTGGCCGGGTAGATCAGTTGATCAAAGCATCATCCCGATACACCAATGTTAGCTGGTTCAATCCTTGATCAGGGCACATACAAGAAGCACCAAAGAACTCATAAATAAGTGGAACAAATTGATGTTTCTCTCTCTCTCTCAAATCAATAAAAAAAAGTCTTTAAGAAGATTAATTTTTTTTTTTAAAAGATACTTAGTATTTATGGAGAGCTAACTATGCACCAGGAATTCAAGTACTTTACATATAGTAATTCATATAATCCTCATGCAACCTCTCAGGAAGGCACTGTTATTAAGCCTATTTTCCGGAGGAGGAAACTGAGGCACAGAGAACCTGTCCAGGGCACACCACTAACAGTAGCAGGGCCGAAACTGGAGCCCAGACAGCTGAGTTCTAGAGCCCACACTCCTAACCACCCCATCTCCCAGCCTTCTGGTTAGAAATGGGCCCTGGAGACTAGAGGATGAGAAACAGCCTGTTTAGCTACATGGCAGCATTTTGGAGACACATAAAGGACGTCCTGCAAGTGAGGGGAGAGGAATGACTTAGGGACAGCAAAGGCGGCGCTGTGTCCCTCGCCAGGTGTCTCCAGCCCTGTAGCTTCCCACAGTTCCTAACCAGCACTGACCCCACCTCCCTCTCGGGGTGAACTCAGAAAGGGCCAGCAGTGGCTCTTACCAGTGGGTTCTTGTAATACAGCAGGCTCCGTTCCTGGGGGTCCAGGGCGAACCACCTTTTCTTGAAAGGTTCTCTCTGCTGCAAAAGAGGGAACCTCGTACCAGGGTTGGCCAAGCCGGGGCGCACAGAGGCCAAGGGAGCAGGCCAGCCCCAGCTCCACAGTCACCCCAGCACCCCTCCCTGTGGCCCTTGAGCTCCGGAGGCTGTGGAGCTGCCTTCAGGTGCGGCTGTGGGTTGGAGGAGGCGCTTTCCTCTTTTTCAGGCTGCAGACAAGAAGTCTCAGAGAAAGGAAGTTGGGGAAATCAGATGCAGCTAGTGCTCAGCAGTGCTGACCAGCCTGGGCCAAAGTCTAACCCAGGTCAGGGGAAGTACACCGAGGGCAGAACCACGGGATGCAAACCACAGGATGGCTGTGCTCTGGCTGGTGGGAGCAGGAAACAAAGTGTGCAGCCCTTTGCCTCGGTTTCGAGCTGACTGAGGTTTTCTTTCACACTGATTGCTTAACACCTTTCCTGGTGGTCTTAGCAACCATCCTGGCAACGTGTTACACCTTTCCTAGTGGTCTTAGCCATCCTGGCAACATATTACACCTTTCCTGGTGGTCTTAGCAACCATCCTGGCAACGTGTTACACCTTTCCTGGTGGCCTTAGCAATCATCCTGGCAACGTGTTACACCTTTCCTGGTGGTCTCAGCAACCATCCTGGCAACGTGTTACACCTTTCCTGGTGGTCTCAGCAACCATCCTGGCAACATGTTACACCTTTCCTAGTGGTCTTAGCCATCCTGGCAACATATTACACCTTTCCTGGTGGTCTTAGCAACCATCCTGGCAACGTGTTACACCTTTCCTGGTGGCCTTAGCAATCATCCTGGCAACGTGTTACACCTTTCCTGGTGGTCTCAGCAACCATCCTGGCAACGTGTTACACCTTTCCTGGTGGTCTCAGCAACCATCCTGGCAACGTGTTACACCTTTCCTGGTGGCCTTAGCAATCATCCTGGCAACGTGTTACACCTTTCCTAGTGGTCTTAGCAACCATCCTGGCAACGTGTTACACCTTTCCTGGTGGTCTCAGCAACCATCCTGGCAACGTGTTACACCTTTCCTGGTGGTCTCAGCAACCATCCTGGCAACATGTTACACCTTTCCTAGTGGTCTTAGCCATCCTGGCAACATATTACACCTTTCCTGGTGGTCTTAGCAACCATCCTGGCAACGTGTTACACCTTTCCTGGTGGTCTCAGCAACCATCCTGGCAACGTGTTACACCTTTCCTAGTGGTCTTAGCCATCCTGGCAACATATTACACCTTTCCTGGTGGTCTTAGCAACCATCCTGGCAACGTGTTACACCTTTCCTGGTGGTCTCAGCAACCATCCTGGCAACGTGTTACACCTTTCCTAGTGGTCTTAGCCATCCTGGCAACATATTACACCTTTCCTGATGGTCTTAGCAACCATCCTGGCAACGTGTTACACCTTTCCTGGTGGTCTCAGCAACCATCCTGGCAACATGTTACACCTTTCCTAGTGGTCTTAGCCATCCTGGCAACATATTACACCTTTCCTGGTGGTCTTAGCAACCATCCTGGCAACGTGTTACACCTTTCCTGGTGGCCTTAGCAATCATCCTGGCAACGTGTTACACCTTTCCTGGTGGTCTCAGCAACCATCCTGGCAACGTGTTACACCTTTCCTGGTGGTCTCAGCAACCATCCTGGCAACATGTTACACCTTTCCTAGTGGTCTTAGCCATCCTGGCAACATATTACACCTTTCCTGGTGGTCTTAGCAACCATCCTGGCAACGTGTTACACCTTTCCTGGTGGCCTTAGCAATCATCCTGGCAACGTGTACACCTTTCTGGTGGTCTCAGCAACCATCCTGGCAACGTGTTACACTTTCCTGGTGGCCTCAGCAACCATCCTGGCAACGTGTTACACCTTCCTGGTGGCCTCAGCAACCATCCTGGCAACGTGTTACACCTTTCCTGGTGGTCTCAGCAACCATCCTGGCAACGTGTTACACCTTTCCTGGTGGTCCTCAGCACCATCCTGGCAACGTGTTACACCTTTCCTGGTGGTCTCAGCAACCATCCTGGCAACGTGTTACACCTTTCCTGGTGGTCTCAGCAACCATCCTGGCAACATTGACACCTTCCTAGTGGTCTTAGCCATCCTGGCAACATATTACACCTTTCCTGGTGGTCTTAGCAACCATCCTGGCAACGTGTTACACCTTTCTGGTGGCCTTAGCAATCTCCTGCAACGTGTTACACCTTCCTGTGGTCTCAGCAACCATCCTGGCAACGTGTTACACCTTTCCTGGTGGTCTCAGCAACCATCCTGGCAACGTGTTACACCTTTCCTGGTGGTCTCAGCAACCATCCTGGCAACGTGTTACACCTTTCCTGGTGGCCTCAGCAACCATCCTGGCAACGTGTTACACCTTTCCTGGTGGCCTTAGCAACCATCCTGGCAACGTGTTACACCTTTCCTGGTGGTCTTAGCAACCATCCTGGCAACGTGTTACACCTTTCCTGGTGGTCTTAGCAACCATCCTGGCAACATATTACACCTTAAAAAAAAAGCTTTGGGATGCTGGGGCTTTGGCAGTTCTTTTAGGGAGCTCCTTCTGCTTTTCTCTTCTCCTTCTCCCATGACCCCTTCCTCTCCTCAAAACTACCACAGCCTCTCCAGCCAGACGTCTGACTCTGAGGCTCACCCCGCCCAATACTCAGGCTGGGTCTGAGTTGCCCTCAGGCAGCAGGAGTCTCCACCCCCCTGAACTCTCCATGGGAGGCAAGGAAGCATTTAGGCTCCCTTTCCTTCATCGATAAGTTTGGAATAAGCGCCCGTGAGGGGTTGGGATGGACTTAGCAAATGAGTGCAGAGGCCGAGTTTGTGCTGGGGAGAGGAGTGCCCACGTGCCAAGCATGGGTGTATAGGTGTGTTTTCTCAGATTGACCTCTAGCCCCTGACTCACATGGATGGTCCCAGTAGGGAGGGGCCCAGCACAGAGCACCCAGCTCTGAAAAAGGCAGAAGCTGATTCCCCTAGGAGTCCCTTGCAGCTACGCTTTTCTAGGAGTAGGGTCAGTTAGGAGGAGTCCGGAGGAAAGCAGCAGATGGTGGTGTTGAGAAGGAGAGAGGATGCCCAGGGACAGGGAGAAGCACTTGCAGCAACACTGGCCTTGGTCCTTCGCCCCAGGAACTCACACACATTGGTTTCCTTCCCTTCCCTCATTGTCCCACCTCTCAAGTTCTGCCCTACTGCCCGCTGGGACAGAGGCTTGAAAGTCCCCAGGAATCAGGAGCATGTACCTTTGGACCAGTCTTTTCCATGAAGCCTTGTTTGAGGTAGTTCCTGGTGATGAGGGGCACGAGCTGGGGGAAAAGAGACATGCACTGACCCCCTGACTCACAGCCCAGGAGATCAGGGTTCCCCACTGAACTTGGCTCCCCAACAAAGGGGAAGTCTGGAATGGGGAAGGATGTGTGCTGATGGTTCACAGGGTTATATTTGGAACGTGGTATAGATGCAATATTAATATTTCAACAGAGCCAGACGACAGCACCCCAGATGTCTGCAGGGCTTCCCAGCACAGCTGAGTCTTGGTTTAAGGACTTGGTTTAAAGAATGCGTCAATAACCCCAGGAGGCAGACACAGACAAGGTTCTGAGGGGACCCTCCTGGTGTCAGGGTTTCCTATAGGTCTGCTGTGTACCAGGCTATGAGAGCAATTCTCAACCACCCCATGAGGTGGTGGATATTGTCATCCTCACTGAATAATTGTAGAGTGGTCAAGGGTATTCCCAAAGTCACACTGCTGGTAGGATGGAGATCTGGGATTCATACCTACAGCTCATGGACACTAGACAGACGCTGGTGATGCTCCTACCACACACTGTGATGCTAAAGTACAGACATGCCTCTCATCAGGCCCTGGCCAAGACCTGGTCTCGGTGGGGATCTGACACAGGGCATCAAGGAGGGGGCGGCAGAGTGGGGGAGTCGAGAAAGCTCTGGACTAGGAGTCAGGAGACCTGGGTTCTAGCTCCAGTTCTGACCTCCACTGCCTGTGCTCCCTTGGTAAAAACCCTGACACCTCTCTGAGCCCATTTCCCTCCATGCAATAAGGGGACTGGATGATGTGATCTTCAGAATTCCTTCCAGCTTGCCATCCTATTCCTAGAGATGTTTCCAGGGATTGATGCCAGCCTCCTGAGCTTGGGGGCCAACCTGGCAATCCCTGGAGCTTCCGATGACAGCCCAGCCTTCTGAAAGCAGAGGGGGTTCTCCAGAGCCTCAGGGCCCAGGGCAGAGGCAAAGGGGAAGTGAGGTCTGGGGAACAGGAATAGGAAGTCTGAAAGGGGGAAAATCATGAGCCAAAACCAAAAATATATTCTGTAGGCTTTAATTCCTTCATTTGAAGGAAAAAAAAAAAAAAAAAAACAGAGTCTCTACTGCTCAAGAGTTTGCACCTGAGCCAAGGCAGGGCTAGTCCAGGCCTAGGGAAGCAACTGGAAGAAGGAAAGGCACGTGGATGGAGTACCGTTTACTGCGCCTTAGATGCCTTGGCTCACCTGATTCTCACAATAGCCCTGGAAGGTAGGTGTTGTCCCCATGATGACAGATGAGTAAACTGAGGCTCCAAGAGGTAAGGTGACTTGCCCTAGGTAACACACCAGCTTCTCTGACTCCAGTCCATCCTTAGCACAGGACCAACCCCCCCCCCCTCGGGTTCCTGGCATCTGGATGCCAAAGCTTGAGCCAGGCCTGAGTGACTGCCCAGGACCTCACAGAGACATAGAGGAGGAAAGACAGGGAAGAAGAGAGGCAGGCAGGGAGGAGATCGGGGGTAGATAAGGGTAACAATGGCAGATGAGAGAGGAGAGAAAACATTGAGGATGTTGGCCAAAGGCCAGTTTCCTCTGCAGGGGTCAGCAAAGTTGGAGAGCTAGCCCAGATAAACAAGGCTGAGCATCTGCACTTCGTGCTCCCATCCTCTCCAGTCAGCAGTTAGCACTCCCAACCCCCTGCCCCAGGAATGAGCATTCGCCAGTTCTGGGTGCTGACTCTGCAGGCTGGGAGGACCCAGGCTGCTGGGGCCATTTTCAGAGAGTTGCCATCTCGGTGCATCGCTGGGCCTGGAGTAGACCCCTGCCCCAGGCACTTGGCTCCATGCAGACTTTGGAATTAAGGAGCAATCAAGTTTTCGAGGAGGACCTAACAGTTTGGAATAAGACAGTCCCAGGATTAATATGGTCTCTCCACCCCCATCACTTACAACATCCTCTGAGAGTAGGGCCTAAGACAGACATCAGATGACAGCACCTCAAAGCTGGAAGGAACCCTGAAGATGATCCAGATCAACTGCCACATTACAGATCTGGAAACAGGTGTGCAGAGAGGTGACATGACCTGCACTGGCCACAGAGCATCCACGAGAGCCCAGGGTCCCTGGCTCCAGGCGGCATCCTCTGCCCCACACTGTCAGCCTCCCCAGCCAAGCCTGACAGAGGCACATGGATGCCCAGATGTCTGAACACAATTAGCATGAATTTCAAAGGCTCACCATTACCTTGCCCATGAAAGGCAGACTGTTCCTGCTAGAATTGTAATGAGGAAGGTCCCACTGCCTTCATGAGACCAGAATACAAAAGAGCAAAAGAGGATGTGAGGGTGGGCAGAGCGCCTTTGGTTATCCACTTGACCTTCCTGGGACTCAGTTTCTCATTGGCAAAAGGGGATGACGACCCACCTCACTGCCTGCTGCGGGATTACGAGACAGGAGGAGTTACGAGATAAAGTGGGCTCTAAAGCACTTTGTAGGCAGCCTGGTGGGGATCATTTGCACCTTTTAGAGGGAGAATGGGTCAGGAAAAAAATGCCCCAATCCCAAGCCCTTTGACATGGTGGGTGATGCCGTGCAGCCTTGAAGAAGAGAGCCTGAGCCCAAGCCAGTTTGGCTCAGCGGTTGAGCATCGGCCTGCAGACCAGAGAGTCCCGGGTTCAGTTCCTGCTAGGGGCATGTACCCAAAAAAAACAAAAGAGAGAGAGAGAGAGATGTGAAGAGGAGAGCCTGACCTGCCTTTTGGGGGCCGCCTGCCAGGTGTGAGGCCACAATGCCCAGCCTCCCCAGAAGAAAGCCTTCGGTTTCCCTCTGAGGTACCCAACCCCAAGTCTCAAGGTCCTGCCTACAAACCAACCTAGTCTGGCCTCTGCATGTCTTCGAGGTCAGGAGACAAGGAAAGGAGGTGGCAGAGAGGAGACTCGGAAGTTGGGGTCCACTTTTAGCTCACCTCAGACTCTGGGAGCTCAGGGAAGGCCATTTTTAGGTATCGCAGACGGGCCGCACGGAGGGCATTGAACCAGTCCACTATCTCCTGCAGAGGAAAATGCAAAGGACCAACGGACAGCCGGTGAGATGGAGTGGGGAGCCGAGGGTGGTGGCCCGAAGTAGCTGCGTCTGCAGGTCTGGGCACCATCACTCGGCACATGCACACGCCCCCACTTCCACTTACGGGCCCCTGGGCTGATCACAGGCATCTGGGAGGACAATGCCAGAGCGCAGGGTGGGGCTCACCTGAGCCAGTGGGAAGCGACCGGCAGGGAGGTCCTAGGGCCATGGGAAAGGACCAAGGTGAACTGCACGGGAGTTAGGCAATGGCCTAGGACAGTCCTTACCATTTTCTTATGCGTGTACAAATCCCCTGAAGATCACCGCTACAGTGCAGATATGGATTCGGTGGGTTTGGGGTGGGGCCTGGGAGTCTGCATTCCTGACTATCTCTCAGATGATGCAATGCTGGTCAGGAGGACACACTTTGAAGAGCAAGGGTCCTTAGATGTCAAAGACCAGTTTCCAGGTGGGGGCACTGGCACCTGGGGCTGCTCCTCCAATGAAGGGGGTTCATTGCTTGGAGGGCAACTTAGGCCGAAGCTGGCTGGGACCTTCTGCTGTCACTCTGGGAGAACACATCCCTCGGCAGTGCGGGCCACCATCACCTGTCACGAGGTGAGCGGCTTATCTAGCTGGCCCTGCCTGTGCTCTGTGCTCTCCAGTCGGTCCTACCCCACTCCCGCAGCCAGAGTGATTTTCTAATTGCAAACCTATTGAGTGTGGCTCCGAGTCCTCGCCATGACCCTCACGAAGAAAAGCTAAGCCCTTTAGTAGGACATTTTCCTCTGAGCTCTTGCCATACAAAGCCATTTGCAATCCCAACACTTCTGTTCCCTCCTGGAACACTAAGTCTCACCCCACTCGCTGCCCTCACCCCAACATACCGACTCCCTAGGGCACCCTACTCATCCTGAAGGTTAGTTTAGATGTTGAAATAGATTTTGGCTCAGCCCAAGCCCTGCTTTATATGAGAAGTGCCCCGCCCATTCTCACCCACCCAGCACTGGCCACCGAGGCTGCTATGACCCTGCCCCCTCTCAGCTACAGCAGCAACTGGACCAGGGTTGGACCCATGCAGAGGCTGGACTGGGCTTATCAAATTCTTTCTCTCAGGAATTTGGAATTGGGAGACAGAAAGACTTGTCCAAAATAGCTGCAGGGCTGCACTTTGATGTAACTCGGTGATTGAGAAATTCATTTGAGTATGATTTCAAAGGAATGAAACTTAATTACCCTTTGTTTCTCAGGAGTTGAGCACCCAAGCCTAGCATTCCGAGTTCTGAGCTCTCTTGTCCTGGGCGTTAAGAACCTTCTAGTGGCCCTGGATGGTGTGACTCGGTGGTTAGAGCATCAGCCCACAGACTGAAGGGTCACGGGTTTGATTCCCAGTCAAGGGCATGTAGCTGGATCACAGGTTCGGTCCCGGGCCCTGGTCAGGGTCGTGCGGGAGGCAACCAATTGATGCGTCTCTCTCATGGATGTTTCTCTCTCTCTCTCCCTCCCAACCTTCCATTCTATCTAAAAATCAATGGGAAAATGTCCTCAGGTGAGGATTAAAACAACAACAACAAAAAAAAATGCAGTTTCTAATTTTCAAAAAATGCAGTAGGTCCAGTGTGGGCCTGAGATTCTGGTTCTAGTGAGCTCCCGGGTGTCGGCACAGGACCACACATCGCGAAGGAAGGCCCCAGGGGCACTGCTGCCTGATCTCTCCATTCCTCCTTCCGTATCCAGAACCTCGGGCTCTGCCTGGGTTGCCATCCCCAGGCGCGGTCCCCCGCTGACTGGACTCCCGCCAGCGGATGTGCACTGGCCAGACACAGCCACAGTACCCGTCAGCTTCCGCCCTCTGACCTCGCTCTGCCTCCTGACATCTCTCCCTGACCAGAAAGTGACGACAGATGTAGGCAAACAGGAGCTGCGCCTCTCAGGAGGCCACTGAACAAGGCAGCTGGCGACCTCAGTCCTGGGGCTGAGCGGGGGCCCGGGGGGCGAGGCCACTCACCTTGCCACTTTCGTGGTACACGAACAGGTTCCTGATGTGGCCTTCTCTCCGGTAGGTGATCTGCAGCCCGTGGGGGTTGCCTATCTTCTCTGCCTGGAAGGTGGCATTCAAGTCCTTGATGTTGATGACAGCTTTGGGGTCTTTACCCTGAAAGAGAGGGAATGAATACTCTAGGGGCTGCCAGTCAGAAGGGTGACTTCCTATCTCCTTCACAAAGGCCTGAATGCAAACAGAGAACTGATGTGTAACTTTTTGTGGGCTTTAAATGCTCATGCTGGGCCCTGGACAGTTTTGCTCAGTGGTTAGAGCGTCAGCCCGTGGACCAAAGAGTCCTGGGTTCAATTCCAGCCAAGGGTACCTACCTCGGTTGCTGTTCGTCCCTGACCCTGGTTGGGGTTGTGCGGGTCACAACCAATCCATGTGTCTTTTTCATATCGATGTTTCTCTCTCTCTTCCTCCCCACACCCACTCTGTCTGACGATAAATGTAAAAATATCGTCGGTTGAGGATTAAAAAAAAATTAAAATTAAAAAAAATAAATGTTAGTGCTCTGATAGCAAGATGCACAGGTATTCTGTCCTGTAGTCTGCCATCCCACCTCCCCTGCTTGATCAGATTGGCCTCTCTGAGCTGGAGTGGGGCTTGGAAAGGCCTTAACTCAGGAATTTTCAAATTTTCTAACCACAGACATTTTTCTGAAGCAAAACATCTGTAGAAGCCAAACAATAAAACAGAGCAGATAACACAGTTCGACCACTGATGAATGCGGAGTAGGGGAGAGAAAAGGGCGCTCTCCTTTATAACTGATCAGAGAGAAAAACGATACAACACTTTAGAGCTGTGGTAGCCATTAACCCATGTCGCTATTAAAATGAAATAAGTCCTGGCTGGTTTGGCTCAGCAGTTAGAGCCCACAGACCAGAGAGTCCCGGGTTCGGTTCCTGCTAAGGGCACGTACCTCAGTTGCAGTTTGTTGTGTGGGTGGCAAAGTGTCTCTCTCACACTGATGTTTCTGTCTCTCTTCACCCTCCCTCCTGCTCTATCTGAAGATAAATGCAGAAAATGTCCTCGGGTGAGGATAAAAAATAAGTAAATAAATACAAAATAAAATAAAAACAGAAATTCAGTTCCTTACTCAGCCCCATTTCAGATGCTCAAGTAGCCACTCGAGGCCGGTGGCTAGGGTGCTGAACAGAGCAGACATAGAACATTCCGTCACTGAAGAAAGTGCTATTGGACAGTCTTCTCTAAAGGGAAATTTGAGTGCTTTGCTTTGACTCACAATTTGGCATCTAAGAATCCATCCCAAGGAAGTAATTGCGTGACTGTGCAGACATGCCTATCAAACAACGTTTATTGCCATGTTGCTTATAATAGCAGAAAAAGAAACAATTATGTAAATGCCCATTAATGATAATGGGTTAAATAAATAAATCATGCTACATCCACACAATGAAATACCACAAAAATTGTTAAAGACCTAAATAATTGACCTAAATAATTAGGTCAATTGACCAAAATAATTAGGTCAATATTACTAATATGAAAATATGTCCATGCTATCCATGAGAACTACTAAGTCCCAAAATAGAATGTACAGTAGGAACCTACTGAAACAAAAATTATACACACATACAGAGAATATATATGTATATGTACAATACATATGTGTATATGTGTAATATACATCCATACATAGTATATATATAATATGTGAATAGTATATATGTATATTACACATATACATTTATATATACTATATGTATATTTCAACATGCCTAAAAAGTATAGACAGATTTGCAATAACAGTCTTAACAATGGTTTACTTGCCCAGCCAGTGTGGCTCAGGGGTTGAGTTGTCGACCCATGCACCAAGACGTCACCGGTTAGATTCCTGGTCAGGGCACATGCCCAGGTTGTAGGCTCAATCCCCAGTAGGGGACATGCAGGAGGCAGCCAATCGATGTTTCTCTCTCTCTCTCTCCCTTCCTCTCTCCAAAAATCAATAAAAACATATTTTTAAAAAAACAACAAAGGTTTTCTTGAAAGATTAGTGGAAGACTTTTCTTTTTTTTTTTATCCTCACCCGAGGATATTTTTTCTTTTTTGTACAGATAGAGTGGGAGGGAGAGAGAGGAAGGGAGAGAGAGAGAAACATCGATGTGAAGGGACACATCGAGTGGCTGCCACCCGCACGACCAACCAGGGCCGGGGACAAACTGCAACCGAAGTACGTGCCCTTAGCGGGAACCGAACCCGGGTCTCTCCGGACCGCAGGCCGACGCTCTAACCGCTGAGCCAAACTGGCCAGGGCTTGGAAGACTTTTCTTTTAAAATATTTACTATGGACTTCCGGTCAAGATGGCAGGTAGGTAAATGCTGTATCGAGTCCTCCCACAACCACATCAAAGTTACAACTACAGAACAACCATCATTCAAAGCCGCCTGACATCAAGCTGAATGGAAGTCCTACAACTACGGAATTAAAGCAGCAGCCACATCGAGACTGGTAGGAGGGCGAAGAGGACGGGCTGGGCCCACACCCACGTCTGGCGCATAAAAATCAGGAGGACACCTCGGCTGGGAAGGTCGTCTCTGAGGAGTAAGGGGTCTCTGTCCCATTCAGGCCCCCAGCTCACTGTTTCAGTGCCAGGAAGAGAAGTTCCCTTAACTTCTGACTATAAAACCAGTGGAAGATGAGGCTCAGGGAGGCTGAGGCAGCTGGAGCCCCAGGCAGCTCCTCTTAAAGGGCCCGCACACGAACTTATTGGACTTGCTCCTTCCTTCTAAGCTCAGAGGGGAAGCAGCTTGAGGGGAGCCAGAGACATACAGGGAAGAACTGAGCTGTTTGGCATTGGATCGAGGGCTGGAGAGGGGGTTTTCTCCTGGACAGATGTGCTGTCAGAGGCCTTTGTTCCTTTGGTGAGCCCTTCCCTGGGGCAGCAGACAGCTGCATATCTGGGACTCCAGCAACCTGGCTCACACTGGTAGCCCCGCCCTGGTGATTCCCTGAGGCCCCGCCCCACCCAACTTTCAGGCCCACCCAAGCTGTTGCCAGTTGCTTTACCATAGGATTGGCCTGTCTTGGATCCTGCTTCAAGTTTTCCTAAATTCTTTCAAACGAGCAGCATCTGGTCTCAGATAGCCCCATACCTCTCTTTAAGTAATACACAGAAACAAATGCAGGGAGGCAGCCAAAATGAGGAGACAAAGAAATAGGTCCCAAATGAAAGAACAGAACAAAACTCCAGGAAAAAACTAAGCGAAATGGAGATAAGCAACCTAACAGATGCTGAGTTCAAAATACTGCTTATCCCTGGTCGGTTTGGCTCAGCGGTTAGAGCGTCGGCCTGCAGTACAGAGAGACCCGGGTTCGGTTCCCGCTAAGGGCACGTACCTCGGTTGCAGTTTGTCCCCGGCCCTGGTTGGTCGTGCGGGTGGCAGCCACTCGATGTGTCCCTTCACGTCGATGTTTCTCTCTCTCTCTCTCTCCCTTCCTCTCTCTCCCTCCCACTCTAAACTTCAAAAATGAGCAAAATAATTTGCCCTGGCCGGTTTGGTTCAGCGGTTAGAGCGTCGGCCTGCGGTCCTGAGAGACCCGGGTTCGGTTCCCGCTAAGGGCGCGTACCTTGGTTGCAGGTTGTCCCCGGCCCTGGTTGGTTGTGTGGTTGGCAGCCACTTGATGTGTTCCTTTCACATCGATGTTTCTCTCTCTCTCTGTTCCTCTCTCTCCCTCCCACTCTACCTGAACAAAAAATGGAAAAATGTCCTCGGGTGAGGATAAAAAAAAAATATATATATATACTGCTTATAAGGATGCTCAATGAACTTAGTGAGAACCTCAGCAAACTTAGTAAGGGCCTCAAGAGCATAAAAAAGGACCAGTCAGAAATGAAGGAGGCATGGCCCTGGCCAGTTTGGCTAAGCAGTTGAGCGTCCGCCCATGGACCAGAAAGTCGTGGGTTTGTGTTTTGTTTTTGTTTTTTTTTTATCCTCACCCGAGGATATTTTTTCATTTTTTCTTTTTTATACAGGTAGAGTGGGAGGGAGAGAGAGGAAGGGAGAGAGAGTGAGAAACATCGACGTGAAGGGACACATCGAGTGGCTGCCACCCGCACGACCAACCAGGGCCGGGGACAAACTGCAACCGAAGTACGTGCCCTTAGCGGGAACCTAACCCGGGTCTCTCCGGACCGCAGGCCGACGCTCTAACCGCTGAGCCAAACTGGCCAGGGCAGAAAGTCGTGGGTTTGGTTCCCACTAAGGGCACATATCTCGGTTGCAGTTTGTCCCTGGCCTTGGTTGGGGATGTGCGGGTGGCAACCACTAGATGTATCTCTCTCACGTCGATGTTTCTCTCTCTCTCTTCCCCACTCTCTCCTTCTCACTCTGTCTGAAGGTAAATGCAAAATGTCCTCGGGTGAGGACAAAAAAAAATAATAATTTACACAGATTCAGTAGTAGAGTATGTAAAGCTAAGAAGCAAAACATTGATTTGGAATATAAGGAAGCAAAAAACACCCAATCAGAACAGAAAAGAAAAAAAAGAATCCAAAAAAATGAGGAGAGTGTAAGGATTGTCTGGGACAACCTCAAGCATGCCAACATTCGCATCTTAGGGGTGCCAGAAGGAGAAGAGAGAGAACAAGAAATCGAAAACCTATTTGAAACAATAATGGCAGAAAACTTCCCTAACTTGAGGAAGGAAACAGACATACAAGTCCAGGAAGCACAGAGAGTCCCAAACAAGATGAACCCCAAGAGGCCCACACCAAGACACATCATCATCAAAATGCAAAAGGTTCAAGACAAAGAAAGAATCTTAAAGCAGCAAGAGAAAAGCAGTTAGTTAACTACAAGGGCGTTCCTATAAGACTGCCAGCTGATTTCTCAAAAGAAACTTTGCAGGCCAGAAGGGAGTGGTAAGAAATATTCAGAGTGATGAAAAGCAAGAACCTACAACCAAGATTACTCTATCCTGCAAAGCTGTCCTTTAGAATCGATGGCCATATAAAGAGTTTCCCAGACAAGAAAAAGTTAAAGGAGTTCATCACCACCAAACCGTTACTATAGGAAATGTTGAAGGGTCTTCTTGAAGAAAAAGATAAAATATATGAACAAACAAAATGGCAATGAATATATATCTA